TTGGCCCCTGCTCAGCCTGCTTTCTTATGCAACACAGGCCCACCTGCCCAGGGGTGGCACCACCCACAGTGGGCTGGGCCCTCCCACATCACTCATCAAGAAGATGCCCTTCAGACATGGCCACAGGCCAGTCCAATAGAGGCAATTTCCTGATTGAGGCTCCCTCAACCCAGGTGTGTCAAGTTGACACTAAAGCTATCCAGCACACCACTGTTCCTAGAAAGCTCAGTGAGGTCTTCAGGACTGAAGGAGTGGCTTCCCTGACACCAAGCTAATGAGATCACAAGCCACAAGAGATGTCAGGAGACTGGGCGAGCAGAACTGGACGGAATGGGGGAGGAGTCGGCAGCCGCACTGGGGGGCGGGGGGGATCTGAGGCAGTTCCTTCTTGCGCTTGTGTGGGCACATGAAAACTAAATGGGATCAACCTGAGAGCCAGAGAGCCCCTAGACTCAATCTCAGCTTGGCCACTTCCTCCTCCTGGAACATGACAAATGAGTTGCCTGGGCCTAGGTTTCCTTGTCTGGGAAACAGTGAGCAGGTAACAGTGGATGGCGCCTCCTGTAAGGCCTATCTCCACCAGCTGGTGGCTGAGCACCCATGGCAGGTGACATAATGGTTCTAGGCCTTGTTTGCCTCAGAAAGGGAAGAAGTGGGTGGGATCTGTGTCTGGGGACATTGGCATCAAAAGAAGATCTCTGAGCCAGCTGTGATGGTCCATGCCTGTAACCCCATAAAGCTGACACAAAAGACGATTTTGAGTTCAAGGCCAGGCTGGGCTACATAGTAGCAAGACCCTATCTCAAAAAAATAAAGCTGTTATTACTTTCATATAAAACTTCAAGCAGTGTTTGATACACAGGAAAAAATCAGCTGTTTTTGTCTTGATAGTCCTAACTAGATTGGAAGTTATCTACAATTCTGTCATCTAGCCAAAAATAAATGTTCAAATATTTCAGACATAAGGTAATTATGTGACAAATTATGTGACTTGGCTGGATTTGGAATCACCTAAGAGACACACTTCTAGGCGTGTCTGTGAGAGTGTAAAGGTTAAAGGAGGAGGGAAGACCCACCCTGAATGTGGGTGGCACCACACCCTGGGCTGGGGTCCCAGACTGAATAAACAGGAAAGAGGAGAAAGTGAGCTGGGTTCCAGCTGCAGGTCTCTGCCTTCCACCTCCCTGATGCCACCCTTCCCACCATGATGCGTGTTGGCCACATTCACAGAGAACAGGGCTCCAGCTAGGAGCTGCGTTCTGCTGTGTGTGCTTCTCGTGGGGTCAGGGTTGGCTCTGTTTTATTTATTCCCCTCTGTATCCTGCACTGGTTGCTTTTCTCACTGACAAGAAGCCATTTAAGGAAGGAACAGTGTTCTGGCTTGCAGCTGAGGGGGTCATTCCAGCATGGTAGGAAGGCCTGCTGGCAGGAGCTGGAGGCCAGCTGGTCACACCACATCTGTACTCAGAAAGCAATGTGAATGGGAAATGGGGCCTGGTTATAAAACCTCAGGGCTCACCTCCACCTTCTAAAGGTTCCAGAAACTTCCCAAACAGCACCACCAGCCAGGGACCAAGTGTTCAAATATGTGAGCATTCAAACCATAACACTCCTGCCACACAGTAACTGCTCAGGGTATGTTTGTTGACTGAAGAACTGAGAACTTCCTATGAACCAAATATTGTACTAGGCACTGGGATCTTAACTAAGGCGGCAAACTTTGTATTGTGAGGATTTTGTCACAATTTTAAATCTCTTAAATGTTTTAGGATTTGTGGTGCTGCCTGGAGAAGCATGTTTGTGGCTTTCTCATCTGTAATGCTGGGCTGCAAATGGTCAGCTCTCTCTCCAAAAGCCATACTGGCATCTGCAGTAGCAAATGTCAGCCACGAGGGGGCAGTGTGGACCTATCAGTCCCCGCCATTTACAGCCTTTCTATCTCCCAAGACCTGAGCTTGGGAGTTTGGCGCCACAGACTCCCTTTAGCAAGAGATCCGTACTGATTCTTCAACATTACACAGAGTGCACGGTGCTGGTGGGAGGCATCAGGGAAGGACTGGAGGAAGGGAAAGCACAGACCACTGCAAGAGAGGACCTGGACACACCAGACTGCTGGTTAGGCAAAACTTGAGAAGTGATCAGACAACACAGTCCATCATTCACTGAACGCCAACCACATGTCCAGAATGTTCTACACACTTTACACCCTTTATCTTCCTTAATCTGTCAGTCTGTAAGACAGGCACTAGAACTCCCATTTTGCTAAGGAGGAAACTGAAGATCAGACAGGTTGTGCTACTTTCTGAAGGTTACACAGTAATGGAAGAATTGAGATTTTTAACCCAGATTCCACAGCCCCATTTATTCTGTGGTGCCCACATGTCGTCTATACCCAGAGATGGGAGAGAGAAATGGGAATCTGAGGGATGGGAAACTTGGGTGCGAGCTGGAGCCATGGAGCAGGGGGATGCTGAAGGGTGGACTAGGTCACCCAGAGACTGGTGCCATCTCAGAGCCACATCTGGCTTCCTTTCAGCGGAGGAGTCCCTGGCATGTGACAACCCAGGGCTGCCTGAGAATGGGTACCAAATCCTGTACAAGCGACTGTACCTCCCGGGAGAGTCCCTCACCTTCATGTGCTATGAGGGCTTCGAGCTCATGGGCGAAGTGACCATCCGCTGCATCCTGGGACAGCCGTCCCACTGGAGTGGGCCCCTGCCTGTCTGTAAAGGTATGGTGCCTTTGGAGCCAGAGGTGGGTCTGACTCCAAGAGACGCTAAGCCTGCTCTGAGGGTGGGCTTGGGGATTCCACAAAAGCCGAAATCCAATGGGTGCCTGTCTCTGTTTCCTTTCCTTTGTTTGTCTGTTTATTGTTTTGTTGTTGTTGTTGTGTTATTGTTGTTTTGAGATAGAGTTAAGGCTGGCCTTGAACTCCCAACCCTCCTGCCTCTACCTCCCAAGTGCTGGGATTATGGGTGTTAAACACCATATCTGTTCTTGGGCTCTTTTTCTGTTGCTATAACAAAATATCTGAGACCAGGCAGTTTATAAAGAATAGAAGATTGTTTGACCCAGGATGCTGGAGGCCAGAGAGTCCAGAGCACAAACTGCCCTGCAGAGACCTCGTACTTTGTGCCATCAACTTGATGGGGCCATCCCATGGCAGGACAGAGAGAGCATGGCAACTCAGGGTTCTCCTTTTATAAAATCACTTAGGCCACCATGGGGGCTACATACTCATGACCTCTTCTAACCCTAGTTGGCCCCCCAAGCCCCTTCTGAATACCATCCACCTACAAACCTGGGGACTAAGTTTCTAACCTGTGAATTTAGGAGCTGCATTCAGGGGACAGCAGCTAGCCACCTTAGCTGGGGCTGCTGCCACCACTTGATGGTGACTTTAAGCAGTCAAGTCTCCAATAAGGATATCTTGGATCTACCAGACCATGAACCCAGAGTGATCTTGTGTTGCCTCGCCTCTGGCAGGCAGTTTCTCCACTTAAGCCCTTCACTTCTGGGCTTTGCATCCCAGAAGTGGCAACATCCTGATCAGGACAGTTCTGTGCTCGGCCAGCGATGACTTTGGTGATAAAGCATGGGATGCCGTCTCTGGCACCTGAGCACAGGTTTTAGGGGATATAAAGATTCATGAAGACAATTTTACACAGAATGCTGAGCCTGATCATCAAATATGGAAAACAAATGCAATCAGAAGGTTTATACATGTACATTTCAAAGCAAGAGAGTTCCACCTCAAGCTAGAGTCTGCGTCAAGGTGTTGAGCCACACCAGAGCCTCATCCTATTTGAAGACAGTATGAAAGACCAATGAAAAGATCACATAGTTACAGGGGTGCGTGGTGCCACACATCTATCACCCCAGCAGTCAGGAGACTGAGGCAGGAGGGTTGCAAGTTCAAGGCCAGCACACAAGAGCCTGTCTACAGAAATAATTATATAATCCAAGTGTGGTGATACGCACCTTTAATCCCAGCACTCAATAGGCAGAGGCAGGCGGATGTCTGAGTTCCAGGCAAGTTTAGTCTACATGGTGAGTTCCAGAGAAGTTTAGTCTACGTAGTGAGTTCCAGGCCAGCTGATCTATAGGGAAACCCTGTCTCAAAAAACACAAAAACAAGAAAAAAAAGATTCTTATTTTATATAGGACTATTATATATGTTCTAAATATAGCTAAGAGTCGCAGTGAAAGAAACTCAGGCAGTCCTCCTGGAAATGCCTCGTGCACCTCTTAGAAGCTGTGTGTCACTTGGAGGCCAGAGGTAGCACCCTCACACAGAGCCCTGAGCTTTCTCATGGACATCCTTCACCCTCTCCTTAGGCAAACAGTGAATTCATTCCCTTGACATTGACCCTGTTTCATGGTTTCTCTTCCAGTTAATCAAGACAGCTTCGAACACGCGTTGGAAGGTGAGTCCCATTTCATGTGGAACAACTCAGATATACCCAAACAGAGCCTTTGCCAGCTTGCTTAGCTTTCCTTGGGGTCCTTAAAAATAGCCACCTGTAATCCCAGCACTCAGGAGGCAGAGGTGGATGGATCTCTGTGAGTTCAAGGCCAGCCTGGTCCACATACTGAGCTCCAAGCCAGCTGGGGCTACAGGGAGACCCTGTCTCAAAATAAAATAAAATAAAATAAAATAAAATATAAAAAAACACTAATTGATCCTCCCTGATTACTGCTGAGAATAACTTCCAAGCAAATGGAACTGGCTTTGTTCCTTAGGTTCCTAAGCAGAACCTGAAGTCATTTGAAGTTCATGAAGGACATGATGGTGGTGATAGGGTTGGGGGTCTGGGAAACCTCAGCAAGCTTTGGGGAAATGAAATGGCCTTTCATCTGGGCTTGGCATCCTGTGGGATTCAGAAGGGGAAAGCAGCACCCGGGTCTCAGCCTTCCTCCTACCTCTGCTCCCCACCCAGCCCCTCCGCTCCTTCCCGCTGTGCTGGCTGCCTACTTACTGTGGCTGATTCATCTGAAAAATATGATAAAAACTATTCAGGATTTTCTCTATTTTTTTTTTTGGTCTTTTTAAGACAGGGTCTCCCTGGCCTGGATTCACTATGGAGACCAGGCTGGCCTCGAACTCACAGAGATCCACCTGCCTCTGCCTCCTGAGTGCTGGGATTAAAGGCGTACACCACCCTGCCTGGCTTCTTTATTTTTGAGGTTCCTTCCCTTCCTGTCTGTTTTAGTTACTTTTCTGGTTGCTGTAATCAAGTGTCTGATGAAGACACCTGAAGGAAGGAAGGGTTAGCGTGGGCTCACAGCTCCAGGTGTGGTTCATCATTGAGGCAAGCGTGTGAGGCAGCTGATTTCACATCACATATGTGTTTGGAAGAGAGACAGATGCATGCCAGGGCTCAGCTTGCTTTCTCCTTTTTATTCAGTCTGAGACCACAGCCCATGGAGATGGTATCACCCACATTCAGGGCGGGTATTCCCTCCCCAGTTAAGCCTTTCTAGAAACACCCTCACAGACATGCCCAGGGGTATAGTCTGGCATTCTGACTATGCCAAGCTGACTGAGTACTGGGCTATGTGAATTACACAGACCCAGCTGCTGTTCTTGTAACCGACAACACTCAGAGCAGAGGTCAAAGATAAGTGTAGGGGAACCTTGGGTCAGCTGTTCAAATTGGGAAGTGGTGCCCCATGGGGTCCCCCTCCCCAGGTTCCATGGCTGCCTCTGGATGCTGCACGGGGTTACTTGATCAGGGGGACAAACAAGACATGAGGTTTGGCTGTACTGGATATCAGCACTGAGTGAGTTTTCAGCCCTGTAGGCAGCAGCTAATGGGTTATAGATGGAGGGGCAGAGCTTTGTGAGCTGTGACCCTGAGAGCAGAAGAGGAGGCCAAGTTTCTAAAAGCAGTGGGGGAGGGAAGCCACCTCCAGCTCTGCTGGAAAAATGTCCCTGCCCACACAGTTTCAGCCATCGGCCTTGCACAGCCACATGTACTAGGGGCAGAGGGAGACTGTCAACAGTAGATAAATCTGTGCCACCCCAAGCCACTCCTGGGGAGGAATCCATTTCCAAGCTCTGGAAGGGTCCCAGTTGGGTGCAGCTGCTCCTGGAAGTGGCCAGAGGGCAAGGCAGTGTCATTCTAGAACTTTCCAAGTCTCCCCCTGAATCAGATATTAACCAGATTTTTGCCCCTCCCCAGCCTGCCAATGGGTGTAGCATGATCAGGATTCAAACATTCTCAGCCTCCATCTGACCACCCCAGCCAATGGTGCCTCTGGGGTCCTTGTGCAGGCCAACAGTCTCTGCCCCTCTAAGATGGCTCTCCAGTGTCTAAGGCTTTGGGTATCAGCTCTGTAGAATTGGAGGCTGGGCCCTCACCTGAGAGCCAGGTCCCCGTGGGCATGGCACTTCTGGGAAACTCACGGCTTGTGTGCTCAGCAGCAGAAGCCGCAGCAGAGTCCTCGCTGGAAGGTGGGAACATGGCACTGGCCATCTTCATTCCAGTCCTCCTCATCTCCTTGCTACTGGGAGGAGCCTACATCTATATCACGAGGTAAGCAGAGTGGACCAGGCTGTGAGGTGAACCAGGCTTCGGGAGCTGGTTCTCCACCTGGTGCTTGGACATAGTCACCTCATATGATGTGAGATGCTGTGGTCCAGCTCCTCTCCAGGATGAGACCATACCTTGGAACCTCCCAATTCCTCCCACCAGGGAGGAGGCCAGAGCCTGATCCTGACACCAGGGAGCTGGTAGCTTCTTGATCTGGAACACTGCATGCTGACGAGCACACCAACGTAGGCATTCCATAGTTCACCTGGTCCCTCAGTTATTCAGCAAACACATAGTGATGTGGGATGGCTATTGAGTATGCTCCTGGGCTCTGAAAGTCACAGCACTTGCCCTGGATGAGGGAGGACTCAGAGCCATGGCTAGAACAGTCACGGGTGTGACTCAGGTACAGAGCCTTGCACCAGGCAGGCTCTGGGCTCTGGGATCTTCATAGTGAACAAAACAGGATCCAATGAGGGAAGAGAGCCAATCTCCAAAACACAGAGGAAAAGCAAATGGTCCATTAGGTGATAAACAGTTAGATAAAGAAATCTGGGAAGAGGGGAAAGGTTCAGGAACAGAGGGAGCAGTTATAGGTTTGGGAGGAGTTCAGAGAAGAGTACGACTCTTTTTGTTTTGTTTTGTTTTGTTTTTGAGGCAGGGTCTCCCTGTAGCCCCAGCTGGCCTGGAACTTACTATATAGACCAGGCTGGCCTCGATCTCACAGGGATCCACCTGCCTCTGCCCCCTGAGTGCTGGGATTAGAGGCATGTACTACCATGCTCTGTAAGAAACATCCTTTGAGCAGACTAGAGAGAGTGGTCATGAGTGAACTAGGAGGCCAGCAGGCAGAGAGAGGCATATGCAATGCCCTGAGGCCTGGGCTACATAGCCGTCACCGCAGTGGTCCAGAGTGCATGGTCACGTGGGAGGTTAGGGAGTAAGCAGACACAAAATACAGTGAGCTAAGCTGGGCACAGTGGAGGAAAGGGAGGGTGTGGTCATGGGGACCTCCTTTAGGCGGTCAGGAGGCTACTCTGAGGCAACTACACAGGCCGGCACTCCGGAAGTGCACACTGTCTTCATCACTCTTCGTATAACAGACTTGAAATACCTCCCGGCTAAAGTGGGTGCCACTTTCTTCCCAGGGGAGGGAAAAGGAGGTGACACGGCTGGCTTGCTGTAGCCCAGGCTGGGTGATGAACGGCAGGCACTAGCCCTCACTGACTTTCCCATGCTCGAGGCTGTGTCCACACACCCCATGTCCTTCACGGAGACGTTGCAGCACAGAAGTGTCGCTGAGTCTCCTCTGGTTGGAGAGAAGCAGCTCAGGCTCTGACTGTCTCTCCCGCAGGTGTCGGTACTACTCCAGCCTCCGCCTGCCCCTCATGTACTCCCACCCCTACAGCCAGATCACCGTGGAAACCGAATTCGACAACCCCATCTACGAGACCGGGGTGAGTGGGTCCCACTACTCTCCCATGGGGGACTCCCATTTGCTCATGAGGCCACAGGCAGAAGGAACACGGAGGGCCCTGCTTTATCCCAGCCAAACCCCCTTCTCTGTCCTCCAGTGACGAGCTCATGATGAGTCCGTTAGGCTGGTCACTGGTCAGAGAACACCCACAGGAAAAGGGGCTGAACCCAAAATCCTTGAGAAAAGTGGCAGGCTGGGGGCCATTGAGGAGTAGTCACGATGTCTTGCCAAACCTCGCCTGTTCAGACACCATTTCTGTAACGGCAGGCTGAACTGGGGCAGTGAACCCCAGGCTGAACCTACAGACAAACCCCATTATAGACAGAGTGTAGTCTGAGAGCTGCGTGCTCAGTGCCATGAGCACCTGCGATCACACAATGAACCGGGGTAGGCCAGGTCACTCATTCCCTGTGACCCCTCAGTGCCATCAAGATTCAAGTTAAATATCTAATCCCTAAAAGATTTTAGGGTTACCTCTTCAGGGGGTGGAAAATTAAGAGTAGCAAAAAGCCCTATTAAAAAAAAAAAGAAGAGTATACAAAGTTGTTCAGGAAAAAGCGATGGGGAGATAGGGGAGTTGGACGGGAGGGAGCAGATTTGATCAAAAAAAAAGATCCAAGTTAAATTCAAGCTGTGGGAGACATTGGCAGCCTGGCAGGGCTTGCATTTCAATCGTTTCTTATGTAAGTAGAAGGCATTCCATAGTAACAATGAACAGCGCTGTTAAGGTGAGAGTTCTGTGTCCTTTTCAAGTGCCTCACTCTAGACACACTGCAAACTCAGCAGCCTCCCAACTAACTGGAGAGCAATGTATCTTTCAGCTCCCGTAGAATGTTTGTTTTTTTGTTTGTTTTGAGACAGAGTCTCCCTGTAGCTCCAGATGGAATTCACTATGTAGACCAGGCTGGCTTCAATCTCAGAGGCCTTTGCCTCTCGAGTGCTGGAATTAAAGGTGTGCACCACCGTGCCCTGCATCCCATAGAGTCATAACGCAGCACCAGGCACTGCATCCATGGCTGCAGACACCCATCCTGCCTCCACCAAGCGCACCGCCTTGCTAAGCAGACAGACCTCAACAGTGGGGGGGGGGGGTGGACGGACCACATGCCAGGCATGTGACCCTCAGGCTACACCCTGTGATTCATGAAGACTTTGAGGTTCAGGAAAAAGGATTTAGGCAAGATTGTACCCAGCCAAGGGCAGGAAGCAAGCTCACCCTGCTGCCCTGAGCCCTCCTGCCCTCCCACCCCTCTGAGCCTCAATCTAGCATGCCTGTGAACCTCATGGTTATGGTTAATTATCACTTTGAAGGACTTTGAAAAGGGTTCTAGAACTGCATGGGGAGGGGCTCAAGGAGGTCAAGAAGTTTGAGGAAGAATTAATGAAGCTGAATTGTAGATGTGGGTGGAACTTACATGGTAGCTGTAGAAAATGCCACTCGGGAGGGCAAAGATGCTGGGGTCTCTGTGAGGACCTGGCAGGCTGGCTGCGACTGTGAAACCTTCACCTTTAAGTCCATGGTGCCATGATGCACACTCGTCTCCCGGTGTTTGGAGCCAAGCAAAATCATCCCTGTCCGTGTTGACTTTCTCCCACCACTTCCCTCCTTTGACCTCGTGTGAATCATCTGTGGATATGAGACAGCAGCCTGTTTCTGGGCTCACACCCCACAGCCCCAGCTGCAGGTGCACCAAGGCTTGGCCAGCAACAGAGCCACACAACCCTGGCCCCCGTGGTTGCTCATGGCACTCCACTTGTGGCAGGTTGTAGGGCCAATGGCCCTGGGTCTTCAGGCCATTTTTAAGAGGCCAACTGTCTCCCATTCTGTGGGGAGAAGCTCACACACAAGTCTGCCACCAAGTCGGAGCCACAGCCTGTGTAGCATGTCACAGAAGTGACATTCTGGCATTTTGTAGATAGAATTGAGTCACAGGTCCTCCCACCCTCACACAGTGTCCCAGACACACAGCTGAGGCAGGAGGACACCCACTGAAACTGCCAGGCCTTTGTCTCCACACAATGATCTGGACAGAGACATGTGGATGATAACAAGAAAGAAGACAGTTTATTAAAAGAGGAACAAGTTCAGAAATGGCCTTCCCTGATTACTCTATTGCTGTGATAAAAACACCAGACAAAATTAACTTGAGGAGGAAAGGGTTTATTTCATCTTACACTTCTAGAAAACAGTCCAACGCTGAGGGAAGTCGGGCGGGAACTCAAGGCAGGAACCTGGAGCAGGACCTGAAGCAGCACCCATGGAGGAAAGCCGCTTACTGCTTCCTTCTCCTGCCTTGCTCAGCTATCTTTCTTACACAGCTCAGCCCCCCCTTGCCCTGGGATGACACTACCCACAGTGGCCTGGGCCCTTCTACAGCAAGTAATAATTAAGAAAATGCCCCATAAATATGGCTACAGGCCAGTTTGATGGAGGAAATGACTCAATTAAGGTTCCCTCTTTGCAGATGACTCTAATTTGTGTCAAAAAAAAAAAAAACTAGCACAATGGGTCAGAGGATAGAGCCAGGTCAGCCTCCAAAAGAGATGGATCCAGTGGCCCTAGGACCTTTTGTGGGTTGTTTGCATGCTGTGCACGCCCTGTGCAGGCTATTTGTTCCCTGTATCCAGCAGTTGGGAGGGTTTTCAATCCTCTTGCCCTTGGCTTCTTTCAATCTTGACACCTCTGGCACCTCCCTCTCCACCCTAGTCTCCAACCTACCAAGGCAGGAACATCAGAAGGTGGGGACTACCTTGGATTCTCCCACAGCATCTCCATCTATCAGGAAGCATTGATGTGATGGAGTTGATGTGTTGGCCTCACAGGAAGAGACAGCAGCATTCCAAGGTTATTCTAGATGTCTCTGGGCAAGGTAGAGCACATGTTACCATGCATGCTGTGTAGCTTGCTTTCAGCTTGTAGGAAAGGATGAGGCTAGAGGAAAGAGCTGTTCAGAGGGTAATTAGTGCAAACCGTAGGTAGAGCAGGTCCCTGGAGTTCTGACAATGCTTAGCAGTAACACTTTCCTTCCCTGTCAGTCCTGAGGCAGAGGAAGAGGGTGGTATCAGCAGGGTGGAAAGTCAGGCTGCCTGGTTGTTGGCTCTGCTCCCCTGTCCTTTACACCCCTGTGGAGCATGCCCTGCTCACAGAACCCAGAAGATACCCTGAGCATGTGTTGGGTACCACTTCCTTCTATAAAGCAGAGCAGAATGCTGTGCAGAAGCACACAGCCGAGGGGCAGAGACAAAAGGTGTGACATTAGGAAGCACTGGTGGTCAGCCTACCACCCGGGGCTTAAAGTATCTGTGCTGCTCTCTCCTGCAGGAAACCAGAGAGTACGAAGTTTCTATCTAAAAGAGCCACGATTGTGAAGGGGACTTATAGACATGAACTCAGTCAGGACTGTCTGGAAACATCCATCAGAGACCGTGTGACATTGGGCTGCAGCCCCAGCGTGGCCACCATCCTTCCTCTAGACTTTTGATTAAAAGATTCATTGTTTTCTGCACTGTATTTATTATATTTAAAAATGAAACTGGTGAGTTTGGTGTGTTGTGGCTGCAGCCAAGTTCAAGTGACAGTCTCCATTCCCAAGGCAGGTGGAAGATTTGCAAAGTGGCGAGCGGGTCAGACAGCAAACGGGAGGTCAAGTTTCATCATCAGTGCCAAGCCGGGGCTGTGCCACCCCGAATTGTCGTCAGTGCCCCCACCATGGTGTTCTTGACACATATGGACCCCCCAAGTTTGGGTTGCCTGCGTTTCTTGCAAGGTTCCTTTGGGGTGGAATTATGTTTTATTTTTTTCCTCCCAAACAAACTCTGTCCAGTTTTACAAGCTTCCAAAGGTCTTGGCCTGTCTTCCTTCTCCCTCGTGCCTTCACAAGGCAACAAAGGTTTCCCTCAGCATTTCCTGACCTCAAGGGACACTGGCAAAGTAAGAAAAGGGTTGCTTTCTAAAAAGTGGAAAAATAACAAAATTGTCAGAGATGAGGTGCCAGAGTTCCAGGGACAAAGGAGGAGGGTTGAGTCTTTCCCTTGACACATGTTCAAAGAGGTGGGTTATCCTAGAAATGCCAGAGTCCATCACTTTGTTTGGCAGGGCCACCCTGAGGCCAAGGCATACATCCACAGGTAGCTTAGACCACAAGTTGGAAGAGTTGGCTGGGGAGGGAGGGACACCATGCCCTGAAAGCCAGGGACCAGCCCTGATTATCACCCAGGGGTCTAGAATGTCTCAGCCTTTGACCTATGTGAGATTAATGCATTGCCTCTCTGAAAGACATTACCCCAGGACCTCCTTTCTCTTCCTAGGCAGGGAAGGTGAAAAAAAAAAAAAAAAAAAAAAAAAAAAACAGCTTCCCTGCCTCTCTGATGCTTTGGTGGCAGGAGATGAGAACACCCAGGCAGATGCAACAAGAGCATCACAGGAGGCCAAGGCCCAAGGTCCCATCTGCACCTGCTTGAAGACAAGAGCATTTGTTTCCAGATAACAGAAAGTCCTAGCCTCTGTCTGCTTATACTTTATCAGGCTCTTTCTGCCCCAACCCAGTGACACTCTGGAAGATTCTTTTCTAAGTACAGTAGTATAGAAAGGTGCAGGGGTTAGATGAGGGAAGGAACAGCAGATCGCATGAGGATCCTGTGAGGTTGACCATGTGGAGGTCAGCAGTTCAGGTATGGAGCACTGAATCTTGAGACCCCCCCCCCAACTTGGCATCCTCCTGGATTGTCTGGAATCATGTTAAATCTGCTAGTTTTCAGAGAAGAGAAAGAGAGCCCTTTCCAGCTGCCAGGCGTATAGAAAGCAGCTGAGAGTTGGGATGTCATAGTTGTGGAAGCATCTGGACTAGAGAGAAGAGGCTTCACGCATGTGTGCCCCTCCTGCAGGAGCTAAGGTTTCATCCTAGGAAGGGGCTGAGGCGGGACTCATCTACCAGAAAATAGCCCTGTGTGTGTACCAGACTGGGGAACTGGGGAGAGTCAGAGGCTGCCAGACACCAGCCCACCCATCCACAGAGGACTCAAGGGATTAACTGCCTAGGCTCCAGGGAGCAGTGACCCTTTGGAAACAGAGCTATGAACAATGTGGCCTGCTTCTGAAGGCAGTTTCTTTTCTAACAAGAAGCCTGAGTCACCTGCTGGGAACTCTGTTAATGATGACTGAAGTTAGTCTGTATCACAGCTTGGTGAAAACTAAGCACTTGCCTTTTGTAAAGACTGATGATGTTCAAGGTCTTTCTTCTAACCCTGCTCCCTAAAATTGCCCAGGTCACTGCCCAGGTCTTCTGGGCTGTTGAGGGGAACAGAAAGGTATCAATCTGTGTTTTCAGGAGACCAGTGTCTTAGCTCTCTTTGTAGTAAGCCCCATAACCACATTTTAAAATTTCATTCTAGCCTAGAGGTGGATGATGCAAGCTCACAATGTACAGTGATTTCAAAGACAGGTTGGTGTCTATTTTTTTTAATTCCTGAATGTGTATTTGTAACATGTAAAAATTTGAAAAATGGTATAGTCGGCGCCAGGTGTGCACAAGGCATTTCCACAGTCCTTCTGTGTCTGTTTTTTACAAGACGGAAATTTGAACCCTGAGGGATTAAATATTTTTGAACAGGATTCACCCATAAGCAAGTGGAGCATAGATGATGCCCTCTCACAAACCACTCACTGCTCTAATGTCGTTGGGAAACACATTTACGCAGCATAGGCTTCCAGGAACATGCGCAGTGCTGATACTTCATGCTGATTGGCACGGGCTGCATCTGACGACCCTGCACTTTCAACACGCACGTGCTCAGCCCTTCTGCTTTGAGCTCAACTGTCCCCTTTTCTTAATTTTCTTTTCGGTAGAATTACTTAGCCAACATCAGTATTCTGACCTGTCTGATGGTCATCTTTCTTTAAGTCTATCCAAGTGTTTCTACCCTGATCCTTTGAAGAACAAACTTAGGAACCTCAGGAGATGGCTTTGAAAACCACACACACACACACACACACACACACACACACACACACATGCACACAGCCCAGGAGAAAGATCAGCAGTCCCAAAGCCAGGAGGGTGGCATTGAGGGGACTTTGGCAGACATGGGGAGCTTCAAGCTGAGACACAAGCCTTAGGCAAAGATTCCTCCTCCTTCTGGTAAGCCCAGAGGCATGACCTTCTTTTGTCCTTGATGAGACCAGGGGGAGCCTCCAGGTCTTAAGCATCACTCAGCACCCCCAAAGGTAGGCTTCTTTGATATTTTCGTTTTCATTTTATCATCAAGCAGAATATAAAACTTTATAAGCCAGAAAATGAAACCATTTTCCACTTTGTATATATCAATGCTAATAAAACGAATGGAAAAGATGGCAGCTGCCCAGTTTGTTCCCAAGGTGCCAGGGTGACACCAAGGGCAGTGTTTCCAGTTTCTGAGGACTGGGGTGGGGTGGCAACTGCTGATACTTCGAATGCCAAGGCAGGACTCCCCACTTTGCAATGGCCCTGGGAATGACAGAACAAGTCAAGTCTCAGAGGACTACTACCAACAGAGCCAGCGGCCCAGTCTTAGGCTGCCACAGAAAAGCACTATAGCCTGGTGGCTTAAACAACAGAGATCTACTTCTCAAAGTTGTGGAGGCTTCCATGTCCAAGGTCAAGGTGCCAGCCTATTCAGTTCCTGATAAGGACTCTAGTCATAACTTGAATATGGTCTTTTTTCAAATAGGGTGTCCACATAGCTGAGGAAGATGAAGGGGGGGATGGAGGGACAGAGGAAGAGATGTGGGATGGTGATGATCTCAAGAACGTCCACCCCAGCAGACCCCAAGGCTCAGGAGTGACATTCTTCCTAGATGCCCCCAGGAAGGGAATGGCATCACCTCCTTGACTCTGTGTACCGCCTAGCCCACAGGAGCCACATCCCCTCCTTTCAAAACACAGGATAAAGCTGTTTTGCTTCTGGGCAGTAAATGTGGAATCAAATTTTAATAAGCAAGGGCCTGGAAGATGGCTCAATGGATAAAGGCGCTTGCTGCTAAGATTGCTGACCTGAGTTTGATCCCTGGAACCCACATAGTAGAAGGAGTTCCTGCAAGTTATCCTCTGATCTCCACATGCACACTGTGGCATATGTGCACACACACATAACACATATGGACACAAGTTTAAATCTTCAATTTTATTTTTTTTTATTTAAAAGACCAAAAATTTCAAAGCAGTCTATTGAAGATAAACCTTTTTATTTCTGGTGATAATGTATTGGAATAATATATAATCTTAAACCGTGTTTTCAAAAGAAGGTTCTGGATCATTTCTAAGGAAGAAAGAAGGGAAGCAAAGGGGGAGGGGAGGGGAAGGAGGGGAACATCCCTAAAATCCAGCGCTTCGGAGGCTGAGCCAGGATTGTAAGTTCAAGGCTAACCTGGGCCACAGAGTGAGACTTTGTCTTAAAAAACCAAACCAAACAAAAAGTTCTCAAAGATTAGAAAGTTTTCAATTCCTACAGCTGACTCCAATAGACTTCCTCAATAAAGATGAATAAAGAAATATGTTCGATCCTACCTTAGCAATTTCTGTGTGCTTGTTGGCTGGTTTGATGTTTCTTGAAACAGGGTCTCAACAATGAACCACAATGAGCCCAGCCTCAGACAGTGGGCTATGTGGTTGGTTTCATTCACAATAATCCTGTTACCTGTTTTCCCAGTTTGTCTCAGTACTTGGCTTGATCCTCAGGTCACTAGTCTCCACAGATATCAGCTTGAATAGATGCCGGTGGGGGCCAGGCATGGTGGCACTGGCCTTTAATCCCAGCACTCAGGGAAGCAGAGGTCAACAGAATCTGCGAGTTCAAGAGTTCGAGGCCAACCTGGTCTACACAGTGAATTCCAGACCAGCCAGGGTTACATAGTGAGATCCTATTGAGAGGTTGCGGGGAGGATAGGAAAACCTGGGTCTCAGAGAGATCCAAAGCTCCTCCACCTATCCCAGCCCCTCTTCAGCAAGCACAAAATATAAGTGCTCACAAAGCCAGCACTTGGCTGTGGAGAGCAGGTGTCAAACATGTATATCTGCAATAGTTTGAAAAGAAAACGGCTTGCTGGACAGGATGACTCATAGGGAAGGTGAGAAGGCCATTTTCAAAGTTCTACCAACTTTTCAGATTATGTGCCCTACAAGTTCTATCCTAAGTCTCTCTCTCTCTCTCTCTCTCTCTCTCTCTCTCTCTCTCTCTCTCTCTCCCTCTCTCTCTCTCCCCTCTCTCTCTCTCTGCACACATATGCATGCATATGTGTTCATGTGTATATATGTGCATGTAGAAACCAAAGGACAACCTTAGGGCTCTTCCTCAAACCACTGCCCATCCTCTCTGAGGCAGGCCTCTTGGTGACTGAGCTCACCAATGAGGCTGGTCTGACTAGGCTGCAAGTCCCAGTGGCCTGCCTTGTCTCTGCCGCCTCAGCAATGAGTATTTTCTGTGTAGCCAAGACTGGCCTCAAACTTGTAGCAGCCTCCTGCCTCAGCCTCCCAAGTGCTAGGATGACAGGTGAGCCACCTCACTGGAGTCAAACTAGGCACCTGGGTGCAGGGTGGGGAGGACTAAGGTAATGCTTTTGGCCCAGAGGCCCCAGGAGGAGGGAGCATGTGGAAGGTGTTGCCATTCTGACATTCAAGCTGGGAGTCACAGACCTGTCCCATACACATATGTGCAAATGTTGTATCAACCAGCCTCACTCTATGAAGTGTCCAAAAACAGCAGGAATATGGGTGTGGCTCACTGACACCAGGCTCCACTGGTAATCACAGGCTCACACCAGCAGCAGCCATGACTCTCCATGGGCTGAGGCCTAAGGAGCTCCAATCTGCAGAGGAGACTGAAGAACATTCTAAAGAGGACAGCCAGGTAACAGGGAAAGGCGGGGCCAGTCCCAGGTGGAGCTCAGGCTCAGTGCCCTGCTGAGCCAACAGGTGCTCAAGGATTTCCCAGTGCGCAGGGCCACCTCCTCAGAAGCTCCCCTGCAGAGAGTTGAAGTCATAGGGCACACAGGGTCATGAGGAAAATCGGTGTTGAGTGTGTGATCACTGAAGCCAGCCTGGACTACATGAGACCATAAAAGAAGGAAAGAGGGAAGGAAGGGAGAGAGGGAGGGAGAACTCTGTGCAGAGGTCTAGTGGGGACAGCTCCTATGAGCAAAGTCAGTCCACAAGACATAAGGACAGGGCAGAGCCCAAGAGCATCTCGTTCTCTCTGGGCTTTGGGTGATGGTGGGCTCTTCGTACTGGGCTAGGGAGGAAGATGGACACTCCCTGCTACTTCGAGCCTTCTGGTCCCTGGAGCTTCTTAGCAGCCCATGCACAAAACCTGTGGCATCATACCCATACCTTGGCTGTGTCACTGGAGAATCTCAGGGTAAAATGTGAATAGGATGTGCTCAGAAAGTTCCATAAATAATTACGGAGCAGGTGACGTGTGCCTGGCCGGGAGCTGAGTGCGAATCAAGCTGAGCCATGACCAGCACCGGGTCGTACTCCAGTGGCATCCCAGTTCTAGTGGCATAGACCTGCCCCCCATCTCCTCACCTGCCACTGGGTGCCCTCACCTGCTCCAATTTTCTTGTTAAGGCTGAGCCTCCTCTGACCCTGTGGTACCCAGCAAAGGCCAGGAGGGCCTTCAGCCACAGCCATAGCGCCAGTCTTCCAGGTGCCTCTGCTCCCTTGGCACAGCCCAGCCCCCTGATTAGCAGCCAGGCAACAGCACTAGCCAGGCCTAGGCTGAAACCCAAGGTGTGCCCAGCAGAACCTAGTGGGCAGAGGCAGAGAGAGGGTCCTGCACTCCAAGCAGCCTGCAAGTCCACCCAAGCCTGAGCCTACCTTGCCCTCCTGGCTACCCTGGCCCTGTCCAACCCCAGGAACTCCAGGCTCTGGGTCCTGTACCTGCTGGCTGATGGGCTCCTACTCAGGAGCATTCAGAGGCAGGGAGCCTATCAGTCTACCCCAGGGAGTATTGCCCCAACTCTACTCCTGGATACTATGGTTAGGGGGCTCCAGGAAAGGAGTGGGTAGAGGAATGCTACATGGCACCCTGCAGTGCCCAATACCCACTGGGGCTGCAGTGCCAGAGCATCCCTAAGTGAGGAAGGCAGTGGACCACAGGGCTGACCTGGAGTCAGCCATGACCACGAGGCCTGAGGCCGGCCTGGAGCTGCTCCAGATGATGTCAGCAGAGTCCTGGGTCCCAGAGACGATCCCTGCCAGTCAGTTCACATTCATCAGCAATCATGTCTCCTCACCCCACCCTCCAGACTTGGAAGTTGGCCACAAGGACACAGCAGTCCATCTCTACCCTTGTCCCGGGGCATGCTGGGTGTTTTCTGTGGATAATGAATCTAATGAACTAGATTCTTTCCAATGAGGCAGGTTCTGCATAAAGTGGCAGCTGCCCTTCACTCGGCAGTGAGAAACCAAGGTCACAGCTAACCTGATCTTCCTCATGAAGCAGGTCCAGAGCCCAGTGTTATAGACTGAATAGTTGAATAGGAGGGAAGGAGGGTGAGAGGGATGAAGGAGGGAGGAAGGGAGGGAGAGAGGGAGAGAGAGAGGGAGGGAGGGAGGGAGGGAGGGAGGGAGGAGAGAGAGACCTGCAGGTATAGACAGATAGACAGATGGAGATTGAGCAGAGATACAGTTAATATATGGACACAGGTGGTGTAGATATATATGTGGATGATAGAGACAGAGAGAGCTCAATAGCTACAGCTATAGGGATAGAGAGATACAGATATAGATACACGTGTCAATGACTTTTACAAAGATGACTTTTACCTAACTTTGCATCCCAAAAGTTAATCTTATAGTGTAGGAGGTGAAGTGCCAGACCTAAGCACAGGCCGCACTAGGGAGCACAGCTTCCGCCTTGAGAGCACAGTCCGTGCTTCCGCAAAAGAGCCAACCTATAATCTGCCCCGGACCTAGAGACTAATGACGTGAGTGGCCTGGATGAGGGGATCTATCAGGGAGCAACACACCAGC